TATTTGTGGTTAACACTGAAGCTAGGGCTGACAGCACATAAAACGTCATGAGAGAAGAGCGGAAGGACAAGAATTCAAAGCATTTGTATGATGTGGCAACCTCTCTTGCATAGTTGTGTGGGATCCTGTTTGTAATGCTCTCATAAATATTCCTGTAAAATTGTTTTTGTTTCTGTTCTGTTTTTTCTTTTTCTCCCCCAACTGGAGCTAAGAAACTTTTTAATGGATTCAGTCTTGTCTCTTGTCTGGAGAGAATTTTTATCTTGTTGACGCATGAACTGTTTAAAAAATTATTCTATTAAATGTTGGTTAACAGTTGTGCAGTTTTTCTTTTCAGAAGAAAAGGCAATCCAAATGTTGCCTTTATTTTCTGTCACCTTCCAACCCTTCGACACTTCTAGTCAGATACAGATTCATCAGTGTATGCAACATCCTTTGTAATTTAAAATAAAAAAAAGATGAAAAGAAAAGGTTTGGAATTGTCTCGTGCTTCTGTCTTACCCCTCTCTACTCCTTTTCCATTGTTTACCAAGGCAGCCATGCGCTCCTCATCAAGATAACCCATGGCAAAGAGCTCCCACCGGACGAGGGCAACACGCTCTTGACCATGCTGCCCCTCTCTTGATAGTGGACACAGGATTCCCCCCCTTTTTTAAACAAGCAACACTTTGGGCTAATTTTTAAATACTTCAGTGACGTGTAGTTAGGTAGAAATACTTGATACAACATTTGCGTTCTTCATAGTTTAGACCATAGTCTATACTCATTTCTCCTCTAGTTCTTTGGGGAGTGATTTCTCCTGATAAACACCTTTATATATGTGTTTAGTAATTCTGAATAAGAGTCCAAGCTAGGCCAGGCATATGTGAGGGTAAATAAAAAGTATATTGCTTCTAGGATCCTAGTTATTGCATGCATGAGTTTATCTAAACAAAACATGTATAAACATGTCTCTAATCAGGGGATGGTGCAGACGTCTTTCTGTCATACATTTGCCTTTGTCCTGGGAGAGTGCTTAACAGAACAAGTCCAATCAATACACAGTGGCTTCCAAGGCATCTGTTGGGCCAGTTAAAATTCAAAGCAAGAGAACTCGGCTCAGAAGGTTATCTAACAGCAAATTTTTTTATTATTATATAAGGGCTCATTTTGATAGATTTTTCTTGACAGACATAGAACAAACATGGTCTAATACATTTTAAGAAAATTGATAGCTGCTTTGGTGAGGAAAAAGGACATTTTCCCCCCCATGAAGACAACGCACCTCTCCTTGGAGGGCAACAATGACTGTCCAGTGAGAATCCCATTGGGAAACCTACGCCATCCACCCTGCAGCCTTGATCTTGCCATTTCAGACTCCCTTTTCTTCCTGAAAGTTAACGTCACATTGAAAAGCAACATGTTTACACTTCGTGAGAATGCCCAAACTACTCTTTGGATGTACTGTAAATCCCGTAGCTCAGAATTCTTTAGGGGATGGGGGGCTAGTGAGATGAAACCACTACCTTCAGAAGTGTATTAGACGTAGATGGAGGCAATGTCAAGAAACAATTGCTTCACGCTTTGATTTAAAACAAAAAATCTAAAGCCAAACTCCCTGCCATTGAGTCAGTTATGACTCATAAGTCAGGGCAGAACTGCTTCTGTAAGTTTGAGATGGTAACTATGTGGTAGTAAAAAGCCTTGTATTTCTTCCTCAACTGGCGGTTTTGAACTGCAGACCTCATGGTTAGCAGCTCAATTCGTAACCACTATGCTACCAGAGTTCCAGCCACATTTTGATAGTTTTGTTTTTAATAAGTATCCTATGATTTTGTAGCAAGACTTCAACTTAACCCTACTGGCAGGGCCTTTAGTCAGGAGCCTTTGGGACACACATCCCCCCCCACCACCACCACCACCACCACAAGGAGATGGAGGCCTTCAGCCAGCACACGTTCGCTTAACACGTACTCTTCTCAGGAGACCTCCAGGAACTCCAGACTAAAATCCTCTGAAGGACACACGGAAGCCCTGAACAAAGAAGAGTTCTTGAACAGAAGCAATCATGATAAAGCTGTCGGCCTTTCTCAGTTAAATATTGAATGCCATTCCAATAAAATACCAAAAGCAAGACAAAACTAAAATTCATAAGGGGTGGGGGGTAATAAAATCTAGATGCTGGATCAGGGAAAAGTCCTCACAAGCATTCACCTATGTTATCAAAATGGTGTCATTTTAGGGCATGAATGAGTAGACAGGCTAATAGAAAGTCTAGAAATAGATTCAAGTATGAGAATTTGTGGAAAATGGTATTGTTTAGAACCAGTGAGGAAAAGATGGATTCATGAGCTCTAAGTGTAGACCTCACATAACGAGCCAGCACATATTTGAAAACGGGTAAAATGTAGGAAGGAAACATGGGAGGAGTCCTCAAGATTCTTGTGGGCCAGGAAGGTGTTTCTAACTTGGACCCCAAATGAAGTCATAAGTGAAAACCGAACATTCTATGGGGAATACAAAAAATTCATAGCCATAGATTCTCATAAACAGTCAAAATTTTGTAGACAGGAAAAAAAATTGCAACTTTAAGGGCTAATTCTTCTAATAAATAACTGAAAACATGAAAAAGACCAACAAACCAATTTTTTAAAAAGACCAAAATACAGGAAGAGACCTTCAGCTGAATTTATGGTAAGAGAAAGGCAAATTAAAGCAGTCTTTTCATCTCACCAGATTGGCAAAACTCCAACTAATTAACCTGTTGAATATACCATGGGTGTGAAAGCAGACGTGTACTGTATTGCTTGTGGAACCATAGATTGATAATAACCCCCCCTATGGAGAGCAAGTTGGAAGCATGTCAATTTTAAGATGCATCTGCCCTTTGACCTAGTGATTCCATTGGTTTGTGGTCTTAGAGAAACTTTCTCTCTGAGTCTATATTCAAATGCTGCTCTTTCTACCTCCTAGGGCAGCGGTTCTCAACCTGTGGGTCTCAACCCCTTTGGGGGTCAAACGACCCTTTCACACGAGGTGGTCTTAGGAACCCGAGACACCGCTCCTCTATCTGTCTCCACGAGGATCCACCCACATGTAGATAAGCCCACATATGAGTACCCGGCATGAAGACTGTTACCCATGTATGCTACACTAAGCTTCAAGACAAAATTTCATTATTTGTAATTAGATATATTTTCATAATATATAATTCCATATTGTTTTTGTGATTAATCACTATGCTTTATGTTTAATTTGTAACAATGAAAACACATCCTGTGTATCAGATATTTACATGATGATTTATAATAGTAGCAAAATTACATTTATGAAGTAGCAATGAAAATAATGTTCTGGTTGGGGGTCACCACCACATTAGGAACTGTATGAAAGGGTGGCGGCATGAGGAAGGTGGAGAACCACTGGCCTAGGGCTGTTGTGAGGGTTAAATGGGATGAAAAGCATAAGGCACAGAGGGTAGGTACAGTGCCCACCACACAAGTGCTCGGAAATCAGTAATATATTCTTAGCAGCAAATGCACATCGAGCTCCTACCATCTGTTATTAGCAAGCTTGGTGCCTTTCATGTATGAGTGTTATATAATACTCAAAGTAAACCTGTGAAGTAAGTTATAGGCCCTAATGAGATTGAGACTGGGTTCCAAAGTGAGTTGTGGAGCAAGATTCGAAGAGAGCAGGATTCCAGTCAGTGGATACCGAAGCTTGTGTGTGTTAGGTGCAGGCGGGTGATAATGGCTTGTGGGAGGGGTGTGCCAACCATAGAAATTAAATGGAGGAGAAAGTCCCATAGCCTTGTCTGTACAACACCCAAAGGTTAATGAACATTTGTGGTTGGAGAGATTTGAATTTCAGCTAAGCATCACTACTTTCAAGTTGAGTAAACTTGGGGCAGGTTAAAGTCTACTTTGCCTTCTGATCTGCAAGACTAGGGGTATTTGTTTCCTAGGGTTGCAGTAACAGTGTCATAAATCAGGTGGCTTTCATAAAGACACCAATCATTGGATTATGAGCCACCCCACTTTACTGTGACCTCATGCTAACATCCTCAAAAACTCCGCTTTACAAACATGATCTGGTTCGCAAGTTAGAACTAGAGCATATCATTTTGAGGGACACAATTCACCACCACACTTGAGTATTAGGTATTTCACGGGTGATCATAAGGATTGAGAGAGAAGCAGGCACTTGGGTCCACAACTGATGTTTGTTGAAGTGGGGAAGGCATTCTGGGAGAAGTAGCTACACAATCCGAGGCTACAGATCCAGGAAGTTCTTGAGGAATCAAAGACCAGCCAAGAAAGTTGGTGAACTAAAACCAAACAACGCCACCATTTCTTGGGGTCCTGCTTTTACTGAATCCATGAAAACTCCTCCAGGGAATGTCATAGTGTTGGTTCAACTAGTGCACATAGGGAACCACTAGGGAACCATGGCTGTGAGCAGGGCCGTAATGTGATCAAGCTCTGCATTCTGGAAAGATCCCACAACAGTGTAGAGAAGGGACAGGAGAAAATGAAACAACTTTCTTTGAATTCCACTTTAAAAAACAAAAAAAAAAAAACCCTATTTTTTCCTTTTACTGCAATTTATACTCTAGAAACTAAAAAATTCAAAAATGAGAATTTTTAAATTTGTTAAGTTTCATCTCCCAAAGCTATACCAGTTACGTAGTACTTTTAGGTTCCTTCGTTGTTTTTGTTTGACCGGTTCGTTTTTCTTACATTTAAAGCGGTATTAGAAGGGGGAAAGACATAGGCAGAAGATGGGGAAAGGCCACCCTTCGAGCGTCTTACATTAGGCGAGGCTGACCTTTCCCCTCCACTGGTCAGGGGCGGTCAGGAGCATGCGCGCGGTTCCCGCCGGCCTCCCTCTCCCGCCACCCTTGCTCAAGCCGACCTGCAGGGGGCGCTGCGGGGCGGGAAAGAAGGCGGAACGGGATAAAAAAAAAAAAAAAAAGGATGTGAACTTTGGGCACCGCCGCTGCCCGTAGTAGGCGTCCCCAACATGGCGGCTCCCCAAGACGTCCACGTACGGATCTGTAATCAAGAGATTGTCAAATTCGACCTGGAGGTGAAGGCGCTTATCCAGGTACGAATTACCAGCCCCTTGCGGACGCCAACCGCCCTAACCCGAGCTCCGCCAGTTCTCTCGGTGCTCAGCGTCCGCACTCCCGAAATTCCCCACTTAGTGCTTCGCGGTGTGGGCCGCGCCCCCTGGCCGAGAACCCCTAAGTTGTCGCCGTTTGCTCCCGTCCCCGTGCTTGTTGGCCTTGATCTTCCCTCCGGATGCTCTTGGCTGGCTCTGCGCCGCCCTTATCTCTCGCCCCGCAGCCCGCCTCCTCTAGGCGGACTTCCTCCGTGTGACCTGCTCACGTCCCACCTGACCTGACCTTTGCCCCGCCCCTAGCCGCAACTCAACTGTCACCCGTGCCCTCCCATCCCCCCCCTGTTGGTACCCCGCACCGCCCTCCACCGGGTGGTGACCCGACGGCCATTGGCGCTGCCCGCCGGGCACGAGGCCCCGAGCGAGCGGAAGGGAAGGAGCCGGGACCCCCCACGTGAGGATGGAGTGGAGCGCCCGGCGGCGGTCGGAAGGCGGCCCCTCCAGCGGGAGCCAGCTCCAAGCGCCCTGCCGTCGGCCGAGCCCGCACGGGGTCCCGCCTTAGAGACCTTGTTGTCTTGGGCCGCCCGCAGCTAGTGCCGCGAGCCGGCTGTTTCAGAGGCAGTAGTGCAGGAGATCGCTTGGACGTCGAGTAAGAATGTAAAGGAAAGCCTAAAACTTAAGTATTTTCGTTTTCATAATGATTTTTTAAAAGATATTTTTGAGAGTATACATAGCTGAACAGGGACCGGTCCAACAATTGTTATGTGTACAGTTTAATGATACTGATCCATTCCTGTGCCTGCCGCTATCCTCATCCTCCTTTTGGACATCGCCCCTCCAGCACTGACACGGTTACTGCCCCCTAGTTTCCTATCGAACCCTCCCTCCGGTTGCTGTTAGCCATCTACACGAGCTCCCGCAGATAGATTTCAAAAGAGCACAGTGCTCACGGCAGCCAGCCATCCTGTACTCGTGGTTAAGCCCAACTTTCGTTTCTTTTTAGGAAAACTCCAGAGGATGTTTATGGTTCAAGGTTTAAATATCATCTTTGAGCAGTCATATCAGGGGTTCATCCCGCCTCCATGGCTCCAGAAAGTCTGAATTCCATGAGATTTTGAAAGTAGGTTCTGTAGTTTCTCCCTTTGGATCGGGATTCTGGTATAGACTCTTGGATCAGAGTGTTCATTGTGAGTAGCTAACAGTCTTCCTGAGTGAAACCTGTGCCATCCTCACAGCTATGGCCAGTTTGAGCCTGTTGCTCCCCCCCAGGGTCTCCCACTCTGCCCCTGGCCCGGGACTTCATCAGGCATGACGTCCTTCTCCAGACACTGGGCTCTCCTGACAACATGTCTAAAGTGCATGAGGCCATGTCTCGCTGCCCTCACTTCTAAGGAGCTCACTGGCTGTATTTCTTCCTGGACAGATTGATTTGCCCTTTTGGCAGTCCAGGGCACTTCCAACGTTCTTCAGCACCACAGTTCCGATGCATCAATTCATCACCTGCCATTCATTTCTCTTTTCCAACTTTCATGTGATTGAGAAATACCCTGGGCATGGGTCAGGTGCATCTGAGCGCCCAAAGTGACCACCGTGCTCCTAGCCACTTTAAAGGAGTCTGTTGCAGCCAGTTTATCCAGTCAGTCCAACACGTCATTTGAGTCCCCAACTGCTGCTTTCATGGACATCAACTGTGGTGCCAAGTAAGTGAGACCCTCGACGTTAGTCTTTTTTCTCTTCATCATCATACTGTTTTTGGTCGGGGTGTGAGGACCTGTTTTTCTATGTTGAGGTGTGATCCATACTGAAGGCTGTAGTGTTCGTTTTCATCCGCAAGTGCTTCAAGTTCTCAGCTCTCAGCAAGCAAGGTTGTGTCATGTCCATCGATTATTCATGAGTCTTCCTCTCATACCACATTTTTCTTCCTATGGTCCAGCTTCTCAGATGATCTTCTCGGTGTATCCATTGAATAAGTATGGTGAAAGACTTCAACCCTGGCACCAACCTTTCTTGATGCGAGTCCATGCAGCATCCCTTTGACTATTCTGCATCAGCACAATGAAGTGGTCTGGAATTCCCCTTCTTCCCGATGTTATTCCTAATTTGTTGTGATCCACACAGTGGAATGGCTTCACATAGTCAGTAAAGCACAAGTGAACATCTTTAAGGTGTTCTCTGCTGTCTTGCTCTGCAAGATTGATCTGTTGTCACCAGTGATGTCACTTGTTCCACATCTTCTGAATCCAGCTGACATGTCTGGCAGCTCCCTGTGGTGCACTGCTGCAATCATTTTGTGAGTTACCTTCAGCAAAGCTTTACTTGCAGGTGACATTCATAACGTTGCTAATTTCCACATTCATTTGGCTCACCTTTCTATGAATGGTTACCAAGATGGATCTCTTCTAGTTCATGGGCCAAGTGCTTGGTTGGTCAGTTTCTTGGTAGAGAGGAATGAGCCCCTCCAGTGCTGTACTCACTTTCAGAAACATCACAACATTCCTACACCCTTGCTTCAATCCGGTACCTTCAGTGCACCTTGAACATCTTCCTTCAACACCATCACTTTTTAAGGATGCACTGCCTCTTGAAGGACCGCAGCCTTTAGTATGGATTACAACTCAATGTAAAGAAAGCCGAAGTCCTCACAACTAGACCTGTAGGTAACATCATGACCAATGGAGACAAGACTGAAGTTGTCAAAGATTTTTTTCTTGCTTGGATCCACAATCAATGCTCCTGGAAGAAGGAGGTAAGAGATCAAACGTTGCAGTGCATTGGATAAATCTACCCAAGGCCTCATTAAAGTATTGAAAACCAAGGGTATTACGTTGAGGACCAAGCATGGTGTTTTCCATTGCCTCATACGCAGGTGAAAGCTGGATCGTGAATAAGAAGACTGACGAAGACTCGATGCACTTGAAGCACGGTGCCAGAGAAGAACATTGGAAGTAGAGGGACTGCCAAAGGGCAAACTGATCTGCCCTGGAAGAAGTACAGCCAGGATGCTCCTCAGCGTCAGGATGACAAGACTTTGTCTCAAGTATGTTGGCCGTGTGGTCAGGAGAGACCAGTCCCTGGAGAAGGACCTCATGCTTGGTAATATAGTGGGGCGGCCAAAACGAAGTGGATGAACTGACATGGTGGCTGTTTATCGATGGGCCCAAACATGAGTGACCCGTCCCGCGGGTCATCTAACAACGTGG